GTCGAATGATGAAGTTAGTCGAGCGTGGCAAATTTTCCGTGGATTATTCGAACGTGCACGACAGTCCGGAATAATGCGCTTCCTTCGGCTGGCCCCTCGATGCTCTCGTTCGATCCTGCTATTTTTTCCCCATTTCCTTTTCCTCTCTTTTCTTTCTTTTTTTTTTTTTTTTTTTAATTTTTCCGACGCGTCGAACGGTTCTTTTCGCGTTCATTGTTCGCGTCGGCTATGATCTTTGCAATATCATTTTATCGGATTTCACCAAATTATCAGTGTAAAATTTGTCCAGCCGATATTTCGATCCTTTCGTTTGGTTTTTCATCGACGGGGGGGGAGAAGAAAGAATCGGGAACAATGCGCAGCTTAAGCGTCGAAATCCCCCGCGTTCCAGCGACCGTACCGCCATATTTCACCAACCGGAGGATTAAGACGGACATACAACGTTTCGTTCGCAAACCGGAAGCTACGTTTTGTCGATAACGCGTTGACGTGAACGGATCTCGTTCATCGCCCCTCGAAATTCCAAACGTTACGCTTCGTTCTACGAACATGACTGATCCAATCAGTCCAATTACCGATCCTTGATCCTTGTATACCGTGCGACTCTCGATTAAGCTGTTCTCTATCATCCTTCGATTCTTTCTCAAAATTATCGGATATAATGTGTACGTCTATAAATCCACGTTGAAAGTTGATCGATCTTCCATGGACGTCGGGCAGAGCCGAATTATACTGACGGCTCGAACACGGACCCTTTTATTCGCGCGTCAAGCTGGCTGGATAAACGGTCGATACGTCATAAGCTGTCGAGGAAATTTCGGGATGAACGAACGTTCGAATCGATAGAGAATCGTGTACGCAAATTATCCTTTCCATCGCGTTGAAAAACAAAAAAAAAAAACAAAAAAAAAACAAAAAAAAAAGAGAGAACAACGAAAATCGCCATACGCGTTCCTCTATACATATATGTATTCTATATCGATGGACGTAAAAGGGTGAAAGAGTTACGAAATATGGTTGCGTCAACAAAAATAAATAACACGGCAGAAAAAAACGTTCATAGAGGTCGAACTGGATCCCCTGGATCCCCTAGATCCTCGATCCTTTCCATCCATTCTCTTTCTATCCAAGGTTCGTGTCGTTGAACTCGACCACGACCCACAGAGCAATGATTTTATTCGCCTCCACACTGCTCTGGCATTCCTGTCCCGAGGAAAGTCATTCCGTCATTGAAAAACACGTTACTCCATATTTTATGAAATTTCTTCTGGCTATTTGCAAACATTGCTTAGTCGATGAAAATATTTCATCGGGATATAATAGCATACGAAAGGAGGGAATAATACTTGGGTTGAAGAAGGTAGAAGGCGAATAGCTGATCCGGGCTTGTTAATCCACACTAAAAGATTAAAGAGGCGGTGGAGGCCGCGAGTACCGGTCGGGTCTCGTGTAACTTCGATAATGGAAGGTAATTTAGTTTCAATGGGATCACGGTATCGATCCCATCGGCGTGCAACAAGGCGAAGATTCAGCCTTTCATAGAGCCTGTCACCGTAAGACTGTATGATTAATTGAGCACCGTTCTTCGACCGGATGATGTTAACGTATGTATGTATGTATGTACGAGGCAAGTCTTCGCGAAGATTACAGTTTGCCACGAGGCGAGTACTCTTTCAAACTGACCCGTCCACGGGAAATCCAATTTATTGCTTTGTGCACAGTGTCTCGTGAAATATGCCGCTGACCGAGCAAACAGGCTGGATTCTTGCGCGAAAAAAATATAGCTACGCGTTCAAGAGAAAAGTTTTTCTTCTCCAGAAAATTTTCCCATTCTTTTTTTTTTTTTTTTTTTATCTTTCTGTCAAGCATAAAATCAAAGCTATGAAATATTTCGCGTATCAACGAAGAGCAATCACAGGTTAATCGATCATTAATCCTGGTGCAATTCGCTGATGAATTATCGAAACGAATCAATACGAAACGATTAGTTAACTGTCCATCAAATTAACATTCGGTCGATGGACTAAATAATTCATTTAGCATCGACGTAACAGGATTGGATTTGTGCGCGTCGCGAAATCACGTTAGTCCTTCTGATTGTTGTTATTGTGCGCGTGGTTGCACGTTTAATGGGACGGTGATTATCAGACAGGGTGAGGCTGGCAATTAACGTGACACTTGGTTCGGTGAAATCGATTCGCATTAACGCGTCTACCTGTCGTTTGTACGTGGCCAGGATTCGATTTTGCGGTCGAGCCTCGAAACGAAACGGCTCGACGGATTGTCAGCCGGGTATCGAATGTCTCGCAGCTACGTATTTGACAGAATCCTACCTGAATATCACCCTCTGTCCCACCCTCTCGGCCACCTGGGTGTCAAATTGCTCAACCAGATTTCGTATCAAGAGTGAAAAGCATACCATCGTTCTGTTAATTAAATTTCATTCTCAGCCATGTTCATTTCTTTTTTAACAATTTCGAACGATAAACTGGAGAATGCTTCCATCATTGAGATCTTTAAAACTCGATCGGGTGGCAAATTGGGAAGGGATTAATTGGCGATCGATAATTTGTAACGAGAACAATTCGAAGTAAATTGAAAACAGCCACTCGAATTGTAAAAATATTCACAAACTTATCGTTGCAATTGTTAAAGGCAAATCCGCGATTCGATCGAAATTTTAATCTCTCCGAAATGGAAACAGTTTCGCTACTTTCGTTTGCAACCGGCATCGCGGTCGATTTCGCGATTACGCGCATTTCCTGTGGCAAATTACTTTGTCCCAGCCCCTCCCCCGTACAGGGAGATTCTCGCTAAAACCGTGCGAACGCTATTCAACGTTTTTAATCGTTGAAACCAGCTCCTCGACCCGCAACGAGGTCATCGCGGCTACAATAATGACCAACGCCATGGTGAACGTGTTCGGTGAAAACGAGTTAGCAAGGAATCGGAACGGTTTATATCCATCCTGACAATGAGATATTGACAATCGGAAGGATATAAAAATGATATCCCGTGGACATATGAAACTCGTTGCGGTCTGGATAAGGATCACTGGTAGAGCTACCCTGCAGGCTATTCCGACCAGCTGACACACGGTGAATGGACAAGATATTTCAAGAATGTAGATACACATTCGTGAAAGCAGCGAACGAAATAACCGAGTTCGAAATCGACCTTTTAATTAACCTGTTCGACCATGGGCGAGTGCACGATTCACGAACGATGATATAATTAGCTAATTAAAATTTATCGATCTCCTGGAAATGATTGGACGAAATTGTCGGGGTACTATGATTATCTTTTCTAGCTTACGATTCACGAGGCGTTCTATTTTTTATGAAATCGCTGTTTCCATCGAATCCGGACCGAAACGCGTTTCATGCGAGCATGAACGTAGCGCACGCGACACCCTCGAATCGATCCGTTTCGGTCAGCCTGTCACGGAATATTCGACATTTTTACACGGTCACACGGTGCCGTTGGATTTGCATGATACCTCGTTTTTTATCGTATTTAAACCTGTCGCGGAACGACGAGGAACACGAAAATCCTCTGTAAAATTTCCGTCACTTTGAAAGTTTCATCGATTCGATCGATAAATTAGTTCGATTCGCGTTGTAGGAACGGAGGCGAGGGGAAGTCAGTGACCGGAATGGAGCGTTAATGAACTGGGTGACAACATTCTCACCCGTGGCGAAGAGTCGAGGATGAAACGGTGATGGAACGCGGCGCGTCGCGGCGCGGAATCGAGATAGAATCCTCTTTCCGCCTCTGCTTCTCAATCCCTTCCCGCTCTTTCCACGACGAAGACCCTCCAAGTCTTGTCTGGAGGCCTCCCGCTTGTCTTCTTAGATCTCTTCTCATCGCGTTCGTCGGAGAATGCAGCTCTGCGCTTCCCCTCTACCCTCGTTAGACCAACAAAGAGAAGAGTTAAGAGGAAAGAGACGCGAAAAGAAGAAAGAGAATCGCGTGTCGAGAGACTTGACTAGGAACCTAGAAACTCTTCTCTGCCTTGACCACTTCAGTCACGAGACCCGTTCTCCAGAGGGTCTTACCAACCAAATGACCTATTTCGCATTGTGGTTGGCTTTACGGTCTTCAGACTACCAAGCTACACCCTCGAGCGGTATTACCATCTCGAGGGGGGTGGTGGGGGGCTGAGATTCGAACACCTGGGACACGCTAAAAGTTCCGAGAATCCTGCTAGAGGTGGATAAAACGAGAATTGAACGTGTTTTCGAAGCACTTTCGATCGGCAAAGGATTAGAAAAGTTGTGTCGGAAGTTGGACGGAGTGTGTAGATCGCGGTGCACGTTTCTACGTAAATGCAATCTAATTCGTGTAAAATTCGTGCGCACGGCAGACGTGTTTTCAGTATGGTTCCAACGATGCATCCGCTTTCGATGATTTCGAGCTATGTATACGGCGAACAGCACGAAACCCCTCACGTCACGACTTTCGTGCACCGCTTCGTAAGCGGTGCAACGATGCAACGATGCAACCGACGACTGGGGGATACACGTTCGCGACTCGCCGAGACACGGCTCGAGGAGTTCGAAAGTAAAACAGAGCAAAAGAGCGCGCAACGTCCGCTGCGTGCGGTTAATAGCTTCTTTCAGCGGCACCAGAGTAACGTGACTAGAAGTTAAAACGAAGCTACCCATCGTCGATAGACACATCAGACCGCGAATATGATCATTCGGATGGTAGAAATCCTCCAGCTGGTAAAAGCAACGGTACGCGGCTATGCGCGCGTATTAAGGATCAGCTGGATGCAATTGAAGGTTCATAAGGTAACTTTGAAGTGCAAATCCTGAATCTGTTTGAATTACAGATCACTCGACTGTTCTTTAGTTCGCGAGGGCTTTCAGGATGAAGAGATTTTGACACGTTTACCTACATACCTTCTTTCGATCTTTGCACGTTTTAATATTTTCGCAATTCTATTCGAACGGAAACGACAGGTAACGCGAGACAAAGCCAGTGTAAAGACTCACTTTCTTGTAGATCCACTTGATGCTTCGGCTAAACTTGGCCATCGGCGAGTCGTCCACGAGGAAGTACTTCACCTCGGTCCCGGTCTCGTGTTGTTCGTTCGCGAAATCATCCGTAGGAATCGCGTGATCCTCTTCTCGTTCCTCGGGGCTCTCCGAAAGATCGTTGTTGTCGCTGTCGATCGCCGACTCGGAGTATTCCGTGATCGTGGACAACCTCTTCGTGCAACTGTCGCTGGTGGAAATGGCACGTTCCATCTTCGAGGAGGATCTGCTTCGGGGAGCAGAGTGTTTCACGCGGCAAGTCGGAATCCTCGCATGGTTAACAGAGCAAAAATTGCCGGATCCGATTTGATTCCGTGCGAGCCTAGCCTCGATTCGACGCGGTTGATTAAATAATATTTTCCAACCGAGACCCGTTCGCCAGATATCATCGAAAGCTTCCAAGATTCGGTTCGTATAAAAAACATCGACCGTCTATTTTTAATCGAAAGCGACGCCCACTAATGATTAAAAACACGATTCACTGGTTGCTAGGTGCGTTGCTCATAGTCGAACGACGGGAAATATTGGTAATTATTTATGGTGTAGGTAGATCACCGTATTTGCCATCGTGCTGTGATAATATAAGAGTGAACCTTTAATCGGATAATCAGCCGCGTCAAAACTTAATCCGGCAATTACGAACGGTGAATAAGGGACGAAGGGCTGATTTATCGACTAAGCTGTACGCTATCGAGATTAAGGGTGAAGAGGGCACTCGATCAGCATCGGAAACACGCGTTTCCACTTAGCTCTCTGTTACCTTTACACCCCGTATCTCGTGAAACCGTTCCACAATTAAATACCAGTAAACGATCGTCTAGCTCCAGCTACTTAAACGATGAAAGCGTAAAAAATAGAATCGTACGTTCATGAATTTCACGTGTAATCAATCAAAGAGACGAGACAACGAAAGCGTAAAAAAAAAAAAGAAAAACAGAGAATTCTGAAAACTAATTTTCCAAAATGATCTCTATAAATAAACTTTCACCACGGTTCGTACACACATTCTAACAGACCGATGATTTATTAGAAAATGAAACGTTTCAACAACTCGAGAAACTCGAGAAAATCGAGGATGGAGTTCGTTGGTAGAAGTTGAAGAGAAAATTCGAATTTAATTAGTTGTCGCTGAGCGAGTTTCCACCGGTCGAGGATTATGAATGAAGTGTCGCGTTTCCATCTGCAAATAGTCCCAGGAATCGACCATTTTAGATAGGACAGAATTAACCCGTTCCTTTTAATTTCTAATAACCGTGTTCGTCGAGAATACTCGTCGTACCGTGACGAGCTATTACAGAAACGACCAATGGACTATTATGCTCCCTTTTGTTTTCGATCGAACTTCTTGGCTAGGTATACGTCCAGATGTTCCACGACAGTTTCTGGGACGGCACAATTTTATAACGATCAAGCTTTCCTCTCACGGGCGGATGGCCTCGTTAATTTAAATGGCCTACGACTCGACGAGAATAATTAATTACGGCAGGGCTCGTAGATGGCGACGATACCAGCCATGGTATTTACGGGATTCTCCGAACTTGTTGGATCACCAGGACACACGGGTATCAAACGATCGTGGAACTCTCGATTTCACAGTTTCACGCAAAATAACAATATATTTTTCAGAAAATAATGAAAAATGATCGAAAATAATTGGTAACGATATTAATAAAAGAATAAGCATCGAAGAAGAGGAAAGAAGCTACCTGTTTACGCACAATACCGTTACGAGGCTACTGTTTGAAGCGAGGAATCTCGATCGAGTCGACGTCGACCGATTTTTATCGCGCCACCCCTCTAATTATCGGGGAAGGAACGATAATTGCCCTTAACACGCTCGATCGAAGCTTTGTCCGGGGCCGACGCTCTTTGCCTCTGGGAACGAATTCGACCCAACGATTCATAAATTAATTAACGTTTAACGCGAACGGACGTACGCGACTCGAAAGTACTTCGCCTTCTTTGATCTTCTTATTCTCGCCAAGTCATAGTAGAATAATTTCGAAAGGAAAGGAGGAGAGGAGCGTCGATTTTCGCTCGAAAATAGCCGGATCCAGGCGGCCAAGAAGGCTGTTCTCTTCGCAGGTTTTACGGCTTTTAGCAAGCCAAGGTCGTCGTAAAATCGTCGCAAACTTAGCCTCGTTTCCAGTCGCGCTTCGATACGCTTGCCAATTATATTTATATATCTTTCCTTCTAACGCGACACACTTTTTTTATTCCCTATACGCGTTCCCCTTCTTCGCAATCGCGCGATTCAATTACGTTTATCGCACTTTTCCCGCAAATTTTACTCGATCTAAAAGAGCTCTACGTGTTTCTGCAATCGTTTCAAAGTATATTTAGGTACTCTATCGCGACAACACACTTCCCGCCGTGATAACAAACTACACACCTGTGTTACCTCGTCGACTTTCCACCAACACAGCCAGGCAAATATGTCACTTTGAGAAATGAACAATCGGCAACAAGAAGACAAAGTACAAGAACAAGAAACAAGTTTTGATTCTCGCGGGAAAACACGAACGCGAGACGGATAGAATCGTTCTCGCGAGATCTAGCCGTACGGAATCAGCTGCAGTTCCAGCTCCAGCTCCAACTGCAACAGAGTGCAACTACTGCAGCTGCAGTCGGCGGCGCGGCTCGGCTCTCGAGCGATACAACGCAACAGCGTGTTTTCACTAGGTGGTTACACCGTTCTCGCGCTTCTCGCGCCTCTTCCATCGACTTTATATTTAGACGACACGCGGTATATTGCCTCACGGCTTACGCTCTGTTCACGCTAACAAGTTTCCACCTACACGCACTCTGACTCGAGCTTGTATCCCTAATATTACTAAAAGTGTTATTCGTATAAATGTGCTTTGCTAATACCTTTTCAAGATGTTTCAGTTGAGTTTTGAAACAATGGGTACGAGGTAAAAGCTTTCTAACCTTCTGAATTTAACTCGAACGTAACTGGTTTAAAGCAGTGAAATATGAAGATTAAAAGCAATCTTATGCAAGGTGTCCCAGTTCAGTAGTGGCAACGTGCGACCATTCTAGGAAACGTTGGTCATTTAATGTTTCAGAGATTATGACCGTTGCGCTGGATGAGAGAGAATATCTTGCCACCAAAATGGACCGATTTATCATCTCAACGAAATCCTTGTGCTTCTTCAAAAAATAATACTCTTGGAATAATTATTAAGCCCCTTGAAACTTTATTGAAACGAACGCGGTGGATAAATCAGCTGATAATAGACATACACGAGTAGAAGAGATTAGAAAGGGATAAATTGAATGGTTCGGTATCCTAATCGGCGACACAGTTTCGCGAACCAGTCTGTTTCACGCGAGTCGATTGTCCGCCTACGCGAAACCGTGCGTAGGCCACGTGCGTGCGACAGAAACCTCTTTGTGACACGGATGATCGCAAGCGCACAGCTTTGTTCTGATCTAACCCTCATCCATATTCATCCGCATATGTATGCCCCGTAATCTACTTAACCCGTAGGTGCCAGGCGGCGTCGTCCGTAGTACGCGTCCGTTCAATTTGTAACGTATGCATATCAGCGACATTCAGCTCGTCATTTCCGAGCATCGACCAGAGTAATTTCATTTACCTTACCGGTGAAAGAAATTCGAATTAACCGTGTCGTAGGTCGAGCAAATAACCCCGTGACGGCAATTTTCAATCGACATCGGTGGTATTTGTACGAGAATTCCGATGTTCGTTGCAATTTCGTTCGGGTGTACATACATATATGGAACGGAGTATATATGGTGATACCGCGTGTATACGGATTCGGTGGAAGTTTGAAACGACCGATACATTATGGCGATCGCGATGCACGACGCGGCTTGTTGCACGTCGGTTCTGCCTATGCACGCTCGTTTCCTAGTACTTTATCTCGGCCAGTTTATCGGCATACGGCGTGCATTATACCACGTGTGGATAGGCTCAAAACCGAATGCATCCACGCCAACTTTTCTGTTACGATCAATAAAGGAAACCTTGCCAATTATAAATAAAAAAAAAGGCTATCGAGAAGCGTTAATTATTCGAAAAAATCGTGTCAGAAACAAGGGAGTAAAGTGGAAAGTGCAAAGTGCATAGCGTGCGGCTGGTTGGAAGACGGAAAGAAAAGAAGGAAGAAAGGTCAGCGAAAGAGAGAAGGAGCCACGGGAGAGAAGTTCATCTGTCATTGACTTGTACCCTGAAAGCGTTCCTTGTGCTCTGCTACAGTGCCTTTCATAACGATCTGACACTGTCCAGAAGTTCGTTTGATCGTCGAAAAAACGTGGCAGAGAACCATTTTGTATCGTGAACCGCGTTAACGATCCTACCAGTGGTTCTGTTATACGAAGAAAACGCGGCTGCATACCGTCTAAACCACTTTGAATCCAGAGAACGTTGATTAATGATGAAATCGGTAGACGAGTCTGGCTTTTACCAGGTACCTTCAGTTTTCAAAGCGAGCAAATGCGAGAAAGGAATGTTGGATATTTTGATGAACGCGTGTTTCTAATTTTCTTACAACATATTGTTTAAAATGGTTGAAATTCGCAAGCAAATTCCTTGGCCCGGGACGAGAAAGCCGATCAGAAAACCACGAAGAGGGGAAACAGATGGAAACTATGGGGTCAAAGGTGCGCGAAAGTATGTAGGTTGAGAGCGGTGCACGAGTTGCTCCCCCGGTTCGCCTAATTGAGCGACGATAACGCCAGGTCCTCCTCCACATCTGTTGTCATTCATCACGCGTAACGCTAGATTAAATTACTAGCTAGTTGTTAATTATGATTTATGAAGGCTTGATGAAGATACGCGAACCCGTTTCGCGTCTACCGACATTCACCCGCAACAATGATATTTTACATTAAATTAGTATACGTAAATTGATATTTCAAATTGAAACAAGAATCGCGTTACCACTGTGAATAAAGAATTCACGTGGAACGATGAAACAATGGAAAGGTTAAGTGGAGTTTCAGAAAGAATATCGGCCACGATCGAGTTGAACCTCTTAAACAGAGCATACAAAGAGAATCCTCCTCTGTTCCTCTTACGTCCTATCCCGATATTTACTTCGTCCGATCGATGATAAAAAGAAAAAAAGTAAGAGGTAGTAAACTATCGTCGAAGCCGAGAAGCCGAGAAGTCGAGATTACGATTTCGTCGCGTTGCGTTGCAAAGAATTTCGTAGACGTCAGCGAGATTTTGCAGGCTCGCATTTGAAAGTCGTGGAACGTTCTGAAAGTTTCTGACGCCGAATAAAAGGTACTTAGGAAGGATGCCTTAAAAGTGCTGCGGGGGAAAACCGTCTGTGCTCGAGCGATCGTACGAGGACTTTAAAGTGACACGAGCAAAGGGAAGTAATCCAGTCACCCTTTTTATACTTGTTTCCACCGTTCTAGCGTTGCGCGAACCAATGGTGTATTTAAATCACCGCCACTTTCTCAAAGAGGGTCAGACACTTGGTGCGTGGAAGAAAAATCTTGAAGCTACTTGAAACAAGTCCGAGTCGAACGACTACGGCTCGCAAAGTGATAAACGATGACTGGCAAAGATGATTTCATACGCAGACGAGCGATACTCGATCGAAGTCGTCTCGTGAAAGTATCAAAGAGCCACTCTTTCAACACTTGCTATATTTCCTGATGCTAAGTATAGGCCTCTTCGTGTTTTGTCGACCGATTACTCGCTTCGAGTGTTAAGAGATTTCCTTGAACATCAAATTCGAGGAAAAATGTGTTTTCACAAATGTGAGTTGAAGATTTTCCTTTGAAGGAAAGAGAATTTTCGCGGCACGTCGATTCGGTCGATTCGGTCGATGCGATGGCATCTAGAAAATAGAGTCGTAAGAAGCTAAAGGAAAGTACGGAACGGAAGAGAGCAGAAAGAAGAGACTATCGTAGATCTGTAACTACCGTTAGCAAGCACCACGATCGTTCACGTGCACTAGAATTTTCTTGGTGGTAGAAATGATTCGTGTTGCGACCACGACACTGGCCTCTTGGAAACGTTGCAACGTTCGCGGAACGTGCTCGACTTCCGTCAAAAGAAAGCCGAAAGCCGCATGCCGTACGCGCCGTTGTACGCTGGCAAACAGCGCGACCAATGCAACAGAAGCATCGCCATTCCGTACACCCGTAGATCAATCGTCCAACAACAACTACGGGCTACAAACTATCGTAAATCTTCTCTACTCTGCTCGTTTGTACGTCATAAAATCGTTTACGACGCTCTAATCAATGAGAATTTATAATAACACCGTGTCGTGGAAAAACTAAACACGCCCTTTTCCTCGTCATCGATCTCCTCGATTTTGCTTTTAAGAGGATACGAACCGACTAAAGTACTTCCCAGAGTTAATTTTCAAATTGGTGAGCTTCCAATTCGCTAATCGAGAATCTTCCGCAGTTAAGAGGAACATCGTGTACCGATTTGGAAACTCACGGAACGGTGCGCAATAGGGATTAAAATTACAACGATTAAAGCAGCGTACAAAGCTGGGAACAATTGTTTGATGGACGAGCGTGAAACGGTGTGTTCAGCCTGAAACAACTGTTTCTCTTCCGCGAATACAAAAGCCGGGGGGTCATGAGCTACCATCGCATCGTTCCAACCACTTCGCGTTGGAATCTGTCCAACAGTGTTCGATCTAGTTCTCCTAACTGGATACTCGTGAAACGGTACAACGTGTGCAACGCAACGCGATGCGTTCTTTACAACAGGTATCAAATTGGCGCTCGTCTATTCAACGACAAAAGAAAAATATCACGACCGGGCTGGGACGGCTGCTCCAAAGGGTTAATAAATCTTTCTTGCCATCGTGATATACCCTCAATGGGCGTCTATGTAATGCGTTTAGCGTCTAGGTAGACATCATTTGTCAGGATCGACGTAAAACACTGGGTCAAGCATTGAACCAACACGCTACGATGCGTCGTACAGTCATATATCATTTGCATAGACCCTACTCTCTAACCTACCCCCTCATTGCAGATCCTCGCACATGTTATTTGCTCGATCCGAACAATATACTGTGGTTACAACCGCGAGAATTTATATATGGGGTTAATTAAAGGCCCCATTGTCTAACTAACCAATGATGATTTGGTTGTTTGATTCCTGGCTAGGATCTTTCCTTCGCGCTATGACGATTGTTGAAACGGTGACGGGACCTCTATTGCTGTTCTATTATTTAACTGATCTCTAGTGTGACGCGTTGATTGCGTACTCGCATAATTGATGAAATTTTGTAGAGGACTGGTATACCAAGGATCTGGGTGACACTGATCCAGCAAGTGTATTGAACCCGATCGTCTCCCCTTCCACGAAACTCGGTTTACTTTTCACCTGATCTCTCGCCAAGGTCAGCCAACGATGAAACAGGTAATGTACTATGCTTTCATCGATACAAGTCTCTACGTATCATTCGGCTAACGACCTCGATAAACTGTCCATTAACACGTTTATCGGAAACACGGTTTTAATTAAACGAAGAAAGTTACTTATCGGTTCTACGATACCTCCGTCGGTTTCGAGACTACTAAAATATTAAACTGGCATAGAAATTGAGATAACAATTACTTCAGACAAAAAGTGTTCATTCAATTTGATAGAATTTCTCAGACAATTATCACCGATACGAGGAATCGGTATACGGAGGGAACCAGGATTCATGATTAT